GCACTGAAATATTTAAATGTCAGCCCTAGAGAATTCCTTGGAGAATGAATGCATTATGGTCATTTGTTTTTCAACTGGGGCTGCCCCTTGGAAAATCAGGAGGATCTTACTGATTAGTCAGTGGGAGGTAAAGTTGAAGTAATACATACAAAAATTTCCTGTATAACATTTGAATGACTCATGCTCACTGCACTAGGAAAAGCAGAGTCCAGTTGGCTAAGTTGATTGTGCAAGTGACTTGGGATCAAATAGAACCGGGTTCAAATCTCATTGTGTTCTCTTAGCTTAGTGGTTGGGTGGGGGGTGGGGGTGAGAGAGATGGTGAATAGAGTTTCTCTGTGGTTCAGCTGAATCTAGGGGGATATGCCAAGGAAAAACAGCTAGATCAACAGTAATCTAAGACACTGCTAGTACTTGATTAGCCTATTAGTTATAGACATGTCCTTGATCTCTGAGCAGAAGTCCTAATGGGAAGAGTGGTCGAAGATAGACAAGTACCATACCACACTCATGATTATTTTGTTGGTTAAGAAAAAGAGATATATGTCTGACACGAGAAGTGCCAAAAAAGAAAATAATTCTTCTGCTATGGCTGTTGGTGGTGCCATTGTTAAAATGTCAGCAACAGGTTGGTAGTTTCTCTGGCTTGTGTTCATTAGGCTGGCCAGCTTAATTTCCTGTCTTGGCTGTAGCTTCATGGAGAAATGTTGAAAGTTGATGGGGACCAATTCCTGAGTAAAAATCACAAGCAAGCTGGCAGCAGGCCTTCTCCTGCTTCCTGCCAACAGAAAACAACTCTCTTGGAGAGCCTGTAATGCCAGCAGGCATAAAGATTGAAAAGTAATACTAGCTGCAATAAAAGATCAGCCTTACAGCAGAGTAGACTGCGATATTTCTGATTCAAGTAGCAGAATATTTTCCCAGGTATTGACTTATTCAAGCTACGTTACTGTTCAACGCTCTAAGATGCATCTCCGCTTGAAGGATGCAATATGAATACAAGTTGGAAAGTGTGTAAATGTAAGTGAGCAGCTCAAATTGACATCTAATGCAAAAAGTGGAAGGAAGCCATGTATAACCAAAAACCAAAATGGAACAACTATACAAGTTGAAAATGAAAACAAATCTAGAACAGTTGATTCAACTTGGACGAAGCTTAAGGACTACATGTTCCAATGCATTAATTTCCCCTCACATTTTAATGTGTGAGTGTGCATCCAATTCCTCTGCTGTTCCAGTGTTTATTTATCCATCTAACTTGCCCACTGGACCAAAACGGGAAATCTACCCAGGCTTCAATGCCAGCTTTATTGATTTTGTTTTCACATTTAAAAAAACCTCAATTTTTGGAAAAAAATATTTTTCCGTAAGGTTTTATATATAAGTATTGATTTTGTTGTATTTTAAATTAAGGAGAAAAATGTGGTATTCAGTACCATAATTTTCACTGTTCCTGGCATCGTCCCAGTTGATAACCTAAACCGACTGACCTCATGCAAACGGCTGGGCCTGAATCATCCTGTAACAGCCATTGTGCTGCAATGGTTCTCATCCCTTGATGTACATGCAACTTTTATTAACGGTTTCGTACTAAGTGGCCTCTGCTTCTCCCCTAACCCTGTCGGTGTGAGTCCCTATTTCAAAAGTGACTCAACCCAGTCAGAGTCACACACAGACAGGTATTCCCAGTTAACCCCAATGCCTAATACTGGAATGTCTAATCGGAGTCTGCTCACACTGGCAGACCTCCAATGTTGACAACTACCTTCCGAAGTGCTTACTTCTCTTCGTGTTTAGAATATTACAGAGACTCGAGGATACATTCAGTGGAAACAACAGCTCTTTATTAAAACCTAGCTACCCTAGGCTACCTTGCATATAAGGAATATAACAATGGAAAATATACAACAATGGGATCAAATACAACAATTACACATAACTGTAACAACTGGCAGCACAATACTACATTAGTAAAGGAACATGAACCAACTCTGACTGTACAGTAGTCCTGTACACGTCAGTACGTACCAGATGACGACCATTAGTTAGCGACCACAAGGAGTGCAGAGCATTGCTTTATAGAGGCGTGTGGCTCTGCCCACCGTATGATGCAAATGCCAGGGTTTTTTCCCACGCTGGCACCCATGTGTTATTTTACTCTGCAGCCTGCTTGTTAGATGACCGTCAATCAAGCAGCCCTGTACCTGTATATTGTTGCAACTCGTGTTTGCTGCTGCTAACTCTGTGCTGCAAGAAACTTCTGCAACTTGGAATCTTACAGAACCCATTTAAAGGGGAGGCCTCCCCATTTCTCTTAAATAATATAGGTATAAATACATATTATTTACACATTACAAAAGTTGGGAGGACATCCCAAGGCGCTGGACAATCAGTGTTTTGGACTCGAGCTGGGTGTCAGGATCGGGGAGGGTGGAGGGCAGGGGAGGAAGGAGGGTGACCGAAGGCACAGTCGAAAAGGAGGGTCTTGAGACGGGTTCTGAAAGAGGCAAGGGAGAGGGGGAGGCAAAGGGTGGGGGCAGAATGGCTGAAAGCCCACCTGCCAATGGTGAGTCGGACAAGGCGGGGGACGTGAAGCAGGCCGGAACCCGCTGAGCGGAGAGGATGGTAGGGGGTTAGGAGGTCGCAGAGGTAGGGGGGAGCGAGGCCATGGAGGGCTTCGAAGGTGAGGACCACGATCTTCAACTGTTTCCTCTGTGTGATGGGAAGCCAGTGGAGTTGGGCGAGCATGGAGGTGATGGGGTCAGAGTCTAGTGCATGAGAGGACATGGGCTGCAGAGTTCTTGATGATCTGCAGCCTACGGAGGGAGGAGTTGGGGAGGCCGACAAGCAGTGATTTTGTGCAGTCGAGCCTGGATATTATGAATGTATGTATGAGGGTCTTAGAGGCCTGTAGTGTGAGACAGTGGCTGAGCCGGGCAATGTTGTGGAGGTGGGGGAAGGCAGGGTGGGACATGGCATGGATATGGAGTAGGAAGGATAGTTGAAGATCAAACAAGACGCTAAGGTTCCTGACTGGCTTAGTAAGGTGGAATGTGCACCCTTGGATAGTGATGCTGCCAATGCCTGAGTTGTGGAGACGCTGACGGGAGCCAATCAGGAGAGCCTCGGTCTTGTTGACATATCCTTAACACAGGATAGCACTGCACAGTGGCAGGTTGGATACCGAGCAAAGAAGGGGGAGGTAACTATAGGCATAGTCAAAGAGGTAGGTCTTTAAGTGGGATTTTATATAAACAGGAGAGGAAGTGAGGGAGTGAGGCCTGGATAAGAGGTGAATTGGCTAAAAGCACGGCCATCGATGGTGGCGTGGAGTGGTTGGGTGAGGGAGTCGGGATCCAGTAGCTTTATTTCAATGGGGATAGTATGTGAGTAATGTTGAGACTTGTTTGAACTGGGAGAAAAGGTAGGATATTTGGCTGGCTGTATAAGATTAAGGCAAGGTCATACGTACTTTCGTTTTGTAGATTTACTCTATGCAATCTTATTTTTTCCTTCTACCAAATAAAATCATTGTGAGCTTGTCGAAAAATCCAGATGATGGAGAATTACCTGGGGTTCATCTGTTACACAAACAGCATCAATTTGATTTTTGGGTTAAAATGAACTCACTAATCAACAACCTATTAGAACCCTTTTTTGTTTCAGAGAAGTAACAAAACCAGGGAGTTGTTCAATTCCTTATTGCAACTGAATCATAATCTCAGTCAACAAAGGCATTATTGTTAATCAGACAAAGAAAACAAAATCAATGAATGGTAAAGAAATGGACATAGAGTAACAAAAACTTACAAAGACATATAATTGAAAAGAAAGTGTTGGAAAACACGATCAGAGCCAAAGAAAATATCAAATAGTAAAACTGAGAAACGAAATACAAACATAAATCAAAGAGTAAGGGACAAGATGAGTTAAAGACAAAGAGGAAGATAGAATTTTAATTATTTTGTTCGCTCACAAAATACTCAGTCTTTACTTTACAGTATATCTTGTGAAGCACTTTGAGATGTCTTGACAACATAAGGTGCTTTATCAAATGCAAGGAATATTCTTATTAGTTTTATTATTGTTCACTGTAGAGAGAGAGAGAAAAAAAAGAATTAAGAGTAGATGGTATCCTAGAAGGCTGCAGCTGAAAGCTATTTTTACAACAGGTAGTGCAAACGTTTTGAAGATGGGTTGCAGATATATTATTAATTGGGATCAAAAAATAGAATGGAATAATCAAATAACTTGCAGAGAACCAGCAAAGACATAATGGCCTATTTCTGAGCTGTACATTTCGATGAATCTATGGATGTAGATACAAGCCTTTGTTCCCAAGGCATTTCTGTAAAGCATCTTACATCCACACAATAATTCCAATTTTAAACGTTCGGCACAACAGCTTTCATAAATATTTTAGTTTATTTTATTGCATATGGCTATTGAGAGAGAGAGCATCCAAGATCAAAACAGATATAGTACAATACACAATTCTAGATCAGTTTTTTCTCTTCCGGCAGCATTACATTGAACTATATTTACAATATATACACATACAAAATGGAAAACATAGCAAGATAAGTTAAGTTAGCACTATCTCTTGTCTGGTCAGAATAACAAGCAATGTAATATAACATTATCTTTCCTAACATTCTAAAACTGAAAGCCAACATGAAAACACTGCTCTTAAACATGATTTATATAGCATCAAGGGAAACAATATTCAGTTGCAAGGTGGGATGGTTAAAATGTACAAACAGTAAAAGATTCTATACACTCTAGTGGGCTTTGTAACCTTTTGAAATAGAGACATTTATGAAATTTGGTTCTTCTCTGTAAACTAAGAATGTAAATATTGCATATGCAGATTCTGAGCTGTACATTGGATGTTCTGTGGGGGGAATCTTCGCTGACAATTTAGCTAAGGAACAACTGAGTTAGTGGCAAAGTGTTACTTATTTGAGTACATTCCAGAAACTGCCATACCCCCAGATGGATGAAGTTTGAAGTCAGCATTTATTTTCAGTGCCATGGTTATTAAGCAGCTTTTAATGCAGATCCAGCCACTGTACTGTACCAAGATTTCTCAGTTTTTTTTCTCTAATGCAAATAAAAGCAAAGCCCACAATACAGATTTTTTTTTACACACAGCATATATACACACACATCCAATCAGGCTTTACAAAGGGATTGACCTCTGGTTAAACACAGGTAAAGTTTTGTTGTGAAATTGTTGATTTGCAGCAAATCAATACATCTACATTCACTTTCCTAGTGCTTCCATTAACTGTTCTACCATTAATACATAGGTCAGCAAGAAGATCTTACAGAACACATACATCAAAGCAGTACTGAACAGTACCAGTTCTAGGTCCAGCATCATAAGAAACTTTAAAAACTGTAAAAAAAAGTTCCCGACTCCCCTGTGGTCAAGAAATTCAACTTCAATTTTTAAATAAGCTTTACATGTTACAATAGTTTGCATTCAATTGCATTTTATATTTACATTCTGACTCAGCCCAAGATATTTGTAGAAGCTTATTACTTATTGTCCATATTAGTAAGTTCCCATTTTCTCTCCTTACAATGAATAATTGAAGAGTACCATTCCTTATTTAAGTGAGAGCATTTGCCTGCATCACAATCGATTTTCCATGTGCTTACCAATGTCCAGTGACCTGAAAATTGCACTTTCTTCCTATTTGTCGTACCATTTTCCATCTGACTCAAGCCTATTCAACATGGCATCCTTAATGAACATGGCAAGCCAAACTTCCGGATCATCACACAGGTACAGTACTTTCCAGGAGATAAACTCAGTAAGGCCCAGGGTTGTTTTTCCGGGGAGTGCAGCAGCGATAAAGCTAAGTTCTTTCTGTGCTATTCTTCCCATAAAAAGCCAACTTCACTATTTAAACGAGGTAGGATTTATACCATGTCAGTAATGTTACAGTAACTCAATCAGTTTCTTGGGTTAAATGTAATTCCTCTTTTAAATTAATTTCATTCATCAAACCAGAAGGTAATTTACTCATGATATTACCAAACTGGGAAAGTTAAGAAAAGTTATTGACTGTGTCATCTAAGGGAAGGCCTGACTGGCAACAGTTAATATACTGCTAAATAAGTACTGCTTCAGTGCACTCTTGTCTACAGAGGAAGAGGGTGGTGGATGTTCATAATAGAAATCTGAGGCAGAAGGCTTCCTCATCCCTGTAGCTATAGGTGTGTGTTGCAGTGCTAGGACTGTCTGAGGCATTATTGGTTACCCATTCATAAGAGAGAAAAAGGTAAACTTCAAGCAGCTATGCACGAAGGTATTTGCTGAGCAGCATCACTTGTGTGAGATTCCAGCAGAGATGCAGAAGGTTTTGTCAGTCTAAAAAAAGGAAAACAGGTTTGAATCAATACTCCAGTAATTAAACAGTCACACGTGTAAATATAACTTAATTAGCCTTTCAAAGCAAATTTCTTTCCTTAACGCACTTTAGAAGGCTAGAATAACAAGTTGTATCTATTCCTGGAGATTACACCATTAAGTATCCTTTTTCCTCTCATGAGCTGTTCAGTTAGCATTAAGAACAGTGCTCCAATTCACATGGGAAATGTTGAATTCGAAACAATATTTACATAAGCTGCAAAACACAGTTTTAATGTTGTAAGCAAGAAGTCTGGAAATTGCTCCAAGTGAGAAGAATGAAAAGGGTAAACCGAATTTCTAATTTCATACTGAAGATTTATAATTTTAAGAAGACAATCTGAAAGAATCTGTAATGAGCCAAGATCTGTGTCAATGGAGTCAAAATAAGTTTTGATCACTAAAAAAATGTTTGCATCTTGATGGAATTAAAAATGTGATCCATTAATTCAGATTTCTATGTTTGGAGTGTAGATATTTTTTTAAATTATGAAATTGACATTCAAGGTTGGAATTCTGATAGTTAAGTAACTGCTGATTGATTTCTGAGCCTTGTGTTCTGATATACCATGGTCAAACTGTGCTGTTTTGCCCTTCCAAGTATGCTTTTATTTTATTTTTAAAATTGCATTCTATTACTTGCAGTAAGCATAGCATTTAATAGGTGCCATAAATGTAATGACTAGTTTCAAGTCTACTAAAACTATTTTGCCTTTAACCCAAATTTCAAATGAGATACAAAACTGTATACAGAAGGCAAGTTACTGGAAAGAATGGGGCTGGCAATAATAACGGGAATGGCATGCCATAGATGTTAATTTTAGCACAGGTTCCTTTCAAATTTCCTAGAGTAGTTATCAGAAAGCTGTACACAGATTTCAGATTTGCAACACCCAATTGAAGTTTCAACAAAAGAAAGCCATAATCTAACGAATATCAAATGCCCAAATCTGCTTCAGAAGAGTCAGCTCATGAAATAGTTTGTGAAGTGTATGAGGAGGAATCATCACCAGAAAACAATATTTAGATCATTATAATATGCCGGAACCTTCAATGTATAAGTTGTCTACATTGTATGATTCTATCACTAACAGAAAGCATACAAAGCTGCCTTTTGTATACATTTCAAAACCAATATTTTTGAAGAGGCGACTATCTCATAAAGTTGTTTTAAACATCGACAGTTAATATACATTTGGATTACAATGCATCTAAGGTCATTGGTTTGAATTAGCTTTCCTTTAACCTCCTAAACCTCTCTTAAATCTATTCAATTTTCACACAAGATGTTTCACTTTGAGTAATCATTGGTACCAACAGTTCATCTAACTATTACAAAAATCTATTGAAAAACCATAAGTATGTAAAAATAATGTCTTGTTCTTACTAAAACAAAGCACAGGCTCCTCACTGCACTACTTCTATACCATACATGGTAACAGTTGCTCTAAAGGATCTTTAAATAGGCATTGCCTACTGTGAGTTAGCACGGTGTTAGTAAAATGATGCAGCAGCTAAAAGATATGACATTTAGAAACATAAATAGTTTAGATCACTTGATTTTTATAATACCAAAAAACAACAAAGAACTAAATGCCTAGCTGACGTATAACATGTTACAAAACCACCAGTGTCACATTTGGAATCAAGAGTAATCAAGATCCGTAAAGGAAATTATTGAAAAATATAATGCTTTATTTGGTGTGAAGTTGCCACTCTGACTTGCAAAACTCTCTGTGATGCATCTATTTTGCATATACAGTAAAGCTTGCATAAAATTTCTTTGCAATGGTCATATCTAGCACCTCCTAACCTGTAACTTTGCTCCCCTACCCTCCATTACTCCCAAATTTACTGACTCCATTGAATCACGGGAAACGTAGTCTTGATCAGTCGACACATGAGCAGAAGAACTTCATTTCCCCCAATTCAATTCCGTTTGCCGGTAAGTGCACATGTGGTGACGGGACAAGCTGCATTAAAATTGTAGGAAGCGTAACTTTGATCCATCAGGGCATGCACACTTATCGGCTGCATTGAATTATGCATGCGTAGTGTCGATTAATGATTAACTCAGATTTTATACAATTTACGCAAGTTTGCCTGCAACTCGGACTTCGCAACAGTCATATTAAATGTTATGGTCCCAACTGATATGACTTATGTGAGTTTCACTGTCGTCATGGCAAAAACAAATAAATTATTTTTTTAAGTAAAAATGTTCTCAGCCACATTGTAGCTTCCTACATACATTCCCCAGGTTGGGTAGACTGACATACTCATTAGTCAGTTTATATCCATCAGCTAGGGAAAACAGAATCAGGCTGCAAGGAGGCACAAATGTATCTTCACAGCTCCTTTTTGGGGGGGAAAAATGGTAATTCTAGTTGGGTAGCATGATTCATTGGTTATTTATTTGGTAGAAATTACGATTTTACAAGTTCTACTGTCATTGATACCAAGAAAAGATTCCTCATATAATACTTTCATTGATCTGTAATTTGTTCTTCAGGGCTATTCACAGATAATAGTGCTGCTTTTTCTCTACTTGTATGAAAGATGACAATAACTGAGTCACCACACAGTATGTTCGAATGATAAAGTAGTACTTCATCCTAATTTATAAGATTTATTTAACTGTATTTCCTAACAGCACAGCAACTGGATTTGGAATCAAGAGTAATCAAGATCCATAAAGGAAATTATTGAAAAATATAATGCTTTATTTGGTGTGAAGTTGCCACTCTGACTTGCAAACAGGTCATCTAATCTTCCATTGGCTGTATCACTAATCTCACCTCTTCAAGATCTGATCTCCATTAATACATACAAAATTATAATAACAGCAATAGTGTGTTTTATATGTGTAATACTTCTTTAGGATGGGGTGGAGGGAGGGAACATTCAAGAAACAAGCGTGCTTTGTGAAGCATTTTGTTTAGGCAACACAAGTGGTACATTTAGGACTCAGTTGGTCACAAAAGGTCATAGCAGAGGAAGTTTTATTAGTGCCAGACAACTCTAAGAATCATACTTTATTGAAACACTGCCTTAGTTTAGAATAACAACTTTTGAAATATAATTGGTAATTTTAGAGACTGTACTGCACGTATTGCAAGCTTCACTTTCTATTTACAAATAACCTTACATTACCACATTTTTGCTGTTAGTTCTTACAAAGTTACCCCTTTATTTACTGGATGTGCAAATATGAATTTGATTTAAATATTGAATCCCACAAGAGCTCCAAATAATTCTCTTATCGACATGAAATGATTGTCCTTATATGAACAAGGTATTACCATATTGAACAAAAACAAGGTTTTGGAGGTGATTAAGGGGAGATTTCAGAGTGTGGTTACTGTAATAAGAAACAACAAATCTGTCTGAGGAAGCCCAAGGTCTTATAAATGTGTTTGCATGGTTTAGAATTCACCTTGGGACGCTTGCACACATACATAACCTCAAAAGCAGGAGTGAAGGATCCTATGTTTCTGTAAGTTTACTCTGTCATGTTTATTTCATCTTTCTCAAACCAATGGCGCATGCTAGGGCTGTTCTCTACAGGTAGTGGTATTTCACCTAAATGGCCATTCTTTGTGTTTAACTGTGGGAGTGCATACAATCCCACAGGGTTACACACCCTGTATTCATTCAGCTTGCACACGTGCAACCTTCCTGTAATTTAGATAGAACGACTGGATAACACTTGGGAATGTGAATGCTGACAAGTTTAGATTTTCCAGATAGAGGGATGCTGATATTGCAGAGAAAAAAATGGTTCCTACTGTGATTGATTCAAGACTAATAGGCAAGCGACACCCAAGTCTTTCATGCAGAAAGCATTCCAAGAGCAAAAAAGCAAACAGCAAATTCATCCACTTGGTGACCACTTCAATGCTGCTGCAAGTGCTACCCACCTGACAAACCATCATTTAATTCCGTCAGGATTTCCATTACCACTGCAGATAGATAGCTAACTGATTTGTTTGCTTTGCCTTTACCAACTTACTTATTCCCTTCTAGTTTCACCACTCGTTGCTTCATTTGTAACATCGATAACCCTCTTTGCTTAAATCTCTGACAAGACAGAGATATTAAAGGTTCAGATACTGCAGCCAAACAAACTATACCTTGATTTGACTTCAGGTTGCTACAATGAGTCACCTGAGAGTGATTTAAGATTTCAACTATCAATTTGATTGGGACTTTTGAGTACTGAAAATAAAACAGTTTTCAAAATGTGTACCCTATAAATAGCTGTGAAGCATGCAAATTTCTAACTATAAATAGATAATTAGACAAAACACTAGGAAGTAAGTATATTTCATAGCACTAATATCATTAACAAAAAATAATGGTTTGTACAGATTCTACTAGATTTGGTAAATAATGTACAACACTGAAATGTTTGTAAAAGAATTGTGCTGTTATTAAGCAGGGTATAATGTTCCTCAAACATTAGCTATTTATAGCACAGTAGTTATATTGTATACAAACTTTGCATTTAATAGATCCTTTATTGCACTGTATTTGTATTAAACTTTAAGAGATTGTGTTGCTCTCTTTGATTTTATTACTCAATCTAGTTAGTACACAGAAGTGTTCTCATACAGTTTTGAAATAATTATCTTAATATTGGAGAGTCATAGAATCATTCATGTTTTTGTAATATGAATTAGTGAAATTACACAGAATATTGTTTTATTATAGCTTATACATTAAATAAAACCACTAGGACCAAGGAAAAGTTCAGGCAAAACTGGACCCATTTGCAGGCTTTCTCTGGTCACTACCCCACACCTGCCTGTGTCCTTGATGCTCTTTTTCTTCTGCAGTCAGGTCTGTGTCCAGGTCCATCCAACAGGCTCAGCTCAAAAGGAATCACAAGTTGGGAGGTAGGGAACAAGGATATGAAAGAAGATGCAGAAAGAATGTAGAAGTAACTCAATAAAGATAAA